ATGTTACAAGAACCATTGCGACTCAGGTGACCATTTAGGCCCTTGGGCCCGATGTTTTTCATGTTGAGGGATTTTGTTTGTTTGTTTGTTTTTTTTTTTTTTTGATAAATATATTATGAGGATATTTCTAGATGAAATATGATTGTGTTTCTTCAGTTTGTTTACATGTTGTTTTTTTAAGTTATGTCAGATGTGTGCTGTTGTCATATTTTTGTTAAACCTTAACTAGAACAGTGATGATTATTTGTTGTACTTTACAAAGCAAGGCTGAGTGAATGATTGATTAAATGTACATGTGTACTTATATTGATTGTGAAATTTGATGCATATGAAATAAATTATTTCAACATAAACGTTTGGGTTTGTTTTTCTGAAAAAGTAAACATTTTATGAAATATACTGGTGATTCTGACACATGCAGAAACAATATGGATGTTCGGAGGGTGCATTGGTAATGCATTTTCCTTTCAGCTAGACAAACAGGATCGATTCAGTGATAAAGATGGTCAACTAGCCAAATTTACTCTGGTACTACAGTTTTTCCCACAATTCCTCACAGCCTTTCTTCTAGGTTAACAAGATAAGTTTATTTGGGTAGAATTTATTTCACAGTTGTCAGAAAAAATTAATATCATATATTATGTTAGATGTGTAATGAATTTTTGCAGAAAAAGAAAATCTAGGTATGTTTATCTGAAGATATGACATAATATATGTAGTTAATTGTCTAGCTTAGGGAATTTTAGTTGCAATTAAAACCAATTATTTGTTCTTTCACTCTAATAGACCCATCACAAACTTAAAAGTGTGTATTGTGTAATCTTATTGTTTGTCCGTCAACAATAATTATTCAGCTGAAGATCTTTGTTTTATTTGGACATCTTTTGAACTAAGTATGTTTTATCAGTGTGATTTGATTTTTTGATTTGTTGAATGGCATTTTCTCCAGAACCTGTTTAGAAGGGTAATTTACTTTTTTTTTCTTTGTTTTAATCTTACACAGATATCTCTTTTTTTTTTGTGTATGACTGAACTCTTTTTAGGCTTGAAAGTAATGAAATATACCAGTGTTTTCCTAGATGGAATAGTTAAATATGATTTTTATCTCACCTTGCCCAAAGAGAGTGGATCTTATCCTGTTACCCGACTTTGGGTCAGGAAGGGATATCTTGCAAAATGGGCTTCTCTAGGAATGACAGGATTTTGTCGAAATTTGGTCAGAAGCATCCTTAGGGAAAGGTAACAGATTTTGTAGAAATAGACAGTCTTGGCATTCAAGTCCGAATTATTATGATGTTCTTTCAACGTTTTTTTATAGTGCTTTGGATTCAATGAACTGATATAAAAAGAGTAAATAGAATGGCAGTAGACTAGTTGGAAGCATGCTTAAGTTTAGGGGACTTTTGTATAAACAGTGAGACTGAATTCCATAAGAACAGACATGAATAGAAATTTCTGCCAAAAAAATCCCCTTAGTATCCGTATAGGACTCTTGTTTGGTATTGAATTCTGCACCCATGGTTTCCAATGAACTTTAAGCTTTGTAGACAGTTTTTATAAGGACACACTTGTTTTAGTCATTGGCAGACATTAAAGAGAGTTTCACTCATGGATCAGGTGTGTAATGTTCTGGCCTGTGGTATCTTACTGGAATCTATTGTTCATTCATGTTTAGAATCAGCTAACATTGTGATCTTCCTGGTTTAGAACTAACTGAAGGTGACTGTGTGTACTTTTCTGTTTGGAGGTGGCTGTGTTTTCCTTCTTGTTTTGATCCACTGAAGCTGGCTGTGTGTTCCTTCTTGTTTTGATCCACTGAAGCTGGCAGTGCGTTCCTTCTTGTTTGGATCCACTGAAGCTGGCTGTGTGTTCCTTCTTGTTTGGATCCACTGAAGCTGGCTGTGTGTTCCTTCTTGTTTGGACCCACTGAAGCTTGCTGTGTGTTCCTTCTTGTTTTGATCCACTGAAGCTGGCTGTGTGTTCCTTCTTGTTTGGACCCACTGAAGCTGGCTGTGTGTTCCTTCTTGTTTTGATCCACTGAAGCTGGCTGTGTGTTCCTTCTTGTTTTGATCCACTGAAGCTGGCTGTGTTCCTTCTTGTTTTGATCCACTGAAGCTGGCTGTGTGTTCCTTCTTGTTTTGATCCACTGATGTAGCAGTGTGTTCCTTCTTGTTTTGATCCACTGAAGCTGGCTGTGTTCCTTCTTGTATTGATCCACTGAAGCTGGCAGTGTGTTCCTTCTTGTTTGGATCCACTGAAGCTGGCTGTGTGTTCCTTCTTGTTTTGATCCACTGAAGCTGGCTGTGTGTTCCTTCTTGTTTGGTCCACTGAAGCTGGCTGTGTTCCTTCTTGTTTTGATCCACTGAAGCTGTCTGTGTTCCTTCTTGTTTTGATCCACTGAAGCTGGCAGTGTGTTCCTTCTTGTTTTGATCCACTGAAGCTGGCTGTGTGTTCCTTCTTGTTTGGACCCACTGAAGCTGGCTGTGTGTTCCTTCTTGTTTGGTCCACTGAAGCTGGCTGTGTGTTCCTTCTTGTTTGGATCCACTGAAGCTGGCAGAGTGTTCCTTCTTGTTTTGATCCACTGAAGCTGGCAGTGCGTTCCTTCTTGTTTTGATCCACTGAAGCTGGCTGTGTGTTCCTTCTTGTTTGGTCCACTGAAGCTGGCTGTGTTCCTTTTTGTTTGGATCCACTGAAGCTGGCAGTGTGTTCCTTCTTGTTTTGATCCACTGAAGCTGGCAGTGTGTTCCTTCTTGTTTGGATCCACTGAAGCTGGCAGTGTGTTCCTTCTTGATTTGATTCAGTGAAGCTGGCTGTGTTCCTTTTTGTTTGGTCCACTGAAGCTTGCTGTGTGTTCCTTCTTGTTTTGATCCACTGAAGCTGGCTGTGTGTTCCTTCTTGTTTGGACCCACTGAAGCTGGTTGTGTGTTCCTTCTTGTTTTGATCCACTGAAGCTGGCTGTGTGTTCCTTCTTGTTTTGATCCACTGATGAGGCAGTGTGTTCCTTCTTGTTTTGATCCACTGAAGCTGGCAGTGTGTTCCTTATTGTTTTGATCCACTGAGGCTGGCAGTGTGTTCCTTCTTGTTTTGATCCACTGAAGCTGGCAGTGTGTTCCTTCTTGTTTGGATCCACTGAAGCTGGCAGTGTGTTCCTTCTTGTTTTGATCCACTGAAGCTGGCTGTGTGTTCCTTCTTGTTTGGTCCACTGAAGCTGGCAGTGTGTTCCTTCTTGATTTGATCCACTGAAGCTGGCTGTGTTCCTTCTTGTTTTGATCCACTGAAGCTGGCTGTTTTTTTCTTCTTGTTTTGATCCACTGAAGCTGGCAGAGTGTTCCTTCTTGTATTATTCCACTGAAGCTGGCAGTGTATTCCTTCTTATTTGGTCCACTGAAGCTGGCAGTGTGTTCCTTCCTGTATTGATCCACTGAAGCTGGCAGTGTGTTCCTTCTTGTATTGATCCACTGAAGCTTACTGTGTGTTCCTTCTTGTTTGGTCCACTGAAGCTGGCAGTGTGTTCCTTCTTGTATTGATCCAGTGAAGCTGGCTGTGTGTTCCTTCTTGTATTGATCCACTGATGTGGCAGTGTGTTCCCTCTTGTTTTGATCCACTGAAGCTGGCAGTGTGTTCCTTCTTGTTTTTATCCACTGAAGCTGGCAGTGCGTTCCTTCTTGTTTGGATCCACTGAAGCTGGCAGAGTGTTCCTTCTTGTTTTGATCCACTGAAGCTGGCAGTGCGTTCCTTCTTGTTTTGATCCACTGAAGCTGGCAGTGTGTTCCTTCTTGTTTTGATCCACTGATGAGGCAGTGTGTTCCTTCTTGTTTTGATCCACTGAAGCTGGAAGTGTGTTCCTTCTTGTTTTGATCCACTGAAGCTGGCAGTGTGTTCCTTATTGTTTTGATCCACTGAAGCTGGCAGTGTGTTCCTTCTTGTTTTGATCCACTGAAGCTGGCAGTGTGTTCCTTCTTGTTTGGATCCACTGAAGCTGGCTGTGTGTTCCTTCTTGTTTTGATCCACTGAAGCTGGCTGTGTGTTCCTTCTTGTTTTGATCCACTGAAGCTGGCAGAGTGTTCCTTCTTGTTTGGATCCACTGAAGCTGGCAGTGTGTTCCTTCTTGTTTTGATCAACTGAAGCTGGCAGAGTGTTCCTTCTTGTTTTGATCCACTGAAGCTGGCTGTGTGTTCCTTCTTGTTTTGTTCCACTGAAGCTGGCTGTGTGTTCCTTCTTGTTTGGATCCACTGAAGCTGGCAGAGTGTTCCTTCTGGTATTGATCCACTGAAGCTGGCAGTGTGTTCCTTCTTGTTTTGATCCACTGAAGCCGGCAGTGTGTTCCTTCTTGTTTGGATCCACTGATGTGGTAGTGTGTTCCTTCTTGTTTTGATCCACTGAAGCTGGCAGTGTGTTCCTTCTTGTTTTGATCCACTGAAACTGGCAGTGTGCTCCTTCTTGTTTGGATCTGCTGAAGCCGGCAGTAGTGTTCCTTCCTCCCTGTTTAGAATCTGCTGAAGTTGGCTATGGGTTCCTTCTTAGTGTGATCAGCTAAAGCTGGCTTCGTGTGTTTCTTCTTGTTTGGGTCTGCTGAAGCTTGCAGTGTGTTCCTTCCCATTGTAAAGGGTCAGACTGCTAACGTTTACAATTTTTTTCTGTTTATGTTATGACCAGCTAGTTTGTTCTGTCATCATCAATCTGCAACACAGTATACTGTATTTTAAATGATTTATCCTGTTAAACAGTGATGCATGGAACTAGATAGTTGGTTTGAAGTTCAATTCAGATAAAACTTATCAGTGCCTGATCTATATGGAAGTTTGATGCAATATATGAATGAGGAATAATTTTTTGGGGTGAATGTGTTAGTGGATGAAAATGAAATATTTTTTATCAAGAGAGGAAAAAGCCCCGGTCAATTATTTCCTTCTTTACAACATAAATATACATTATAAATATTTTTGTCCTGAAAAGAATAAGAATATTTCAATCAGAGATTGGATCATTTTACTTAATCTTTATCCAAACACAGGACGGCCAAACAGAGTGTTGACTTTTGCGTCAGTCATGAAGCCTGACAAATCAATCTCCGTTAACTGATAACCTCCACCGAGTCTGGTCATTATAGTATTAATTTCATCAAAATTGTACTGCACCGAAGTGCCTGAACCTGCTCCTCCAAAGGTAAATACGAAAAGAAACACAAGCTGATCATTTATGATGAAAAAGGATGGATTTCCACTATCACCGACAATCTTTGGTTCATAGTATTTATGTCTCGTGGAAGAAGAAATGGGTGTTGTCAAGGATACCATGGAGCCACTCATATAGCTTAAATCTTCCACTAATGCCTTCTCTTCAAAGTCAGTGCTCAGGACCGGAAGTCGGACCATTTCCTTGTGAGGATTAAGAACAGTGAAGTTACGCGGCAGAACTTTGGCAAAGGAGATGGAGGATGGCACGTCGTCGTCCAAGAGACCAACCACCATATCATGACCATAAAGAAAGTTCTGATGGACCGAGGTGTTTGTGTATAAGGCCCTCGTCTTTATCACCTTCCTATCTACCACGTTGTTGTGACGGTCCACAAAACGTAGTGTGCTGTTGACACGGATGCTGTAGTGCCTGGCCCAAACGGCATGTCGTGGGGATAATAATGTCCCTGCCTTACGAGTTTTCCCGTAGCTATTCCATGGGGATATTGGGGTCAAATCGATGTCATGTGCCCAGCAGAGTGGATTCCTTTGATAAATTCTGTGTGTATGATCCTGCTTCGAGAAAATCAGCTTCGATGCATTGGCACTTGTGCCTGCTGCTTCAGACCTCTTGAGCCTGTCGTCAACACCGTGGACAATGGATGCAAATAGGTTTGTCTCCTCTGTGGTGAGGGGACGAGGGATGGCTGATATGTACAGTGGATGGTCACAGTTCGGTCCCAGTTTAGTTAAATGGAATGATTCATTATGGAAAAACATCAGTCTGCAAAACTGTTCCTGAAGTTGGCAGCTGGGAAACAAAAAAAGTAGTTATTGTTTTTGTGATATACTCCAACTGCCCTTCACCACTAAACATCAACAGGGGTAATAAATGAAGGAAAAGAATGTTTGAGAATTGGTACAATTTTGTGGACCACCAAAAAATATACAATGAATATACTGTAATGTCGGATACATTCTTATGGAGTTCAATTTTTGTGGCTTTTCAAAAAAAAAAAAAAAAAAAAAATGAAAAATCACTTTTTCATGAATATTTAATTTTATAGATTAATATAGTCCAGTGCTCATAAAAACAATTAAAATAAATCCCCAAAAATTAATGTTTTCTTATTGTTATGGAATGAGGATGTCTGTTTTTACAAAGATTATCATCGTGGGCTTCTGATACAGTGAAGATGAAGGAATGTCTACCAAGATGTTACAGTGACCCACCTTCCATTATATACTCTACCCCGGCTGTCACAGTAGTATCGGTCCACACGAGAGCTCGCCTCGACAGGACAGTAGGTGTCTACTACATCTAAACAATCCTGTAGGCTGCCCCCGGCATCACCAAACACTGCAACAGATCATATACCAATGTCTCAGTAACAGGTGTCTGTATCAACAACAACGTCAATAACAGGTGTCTGTATAAATAACAACGTCAATAGCAAGTGTGTATAAACAACGTCACTAACAGGTGTTTGTATAAACCACAACGTCAATAACAGGTGTCTGTATAAACAACAACGTCAATAGCAGGTGTGTATAAACAACGTCACTAACAGGTGTTTGTATAAACCACAACGTCAATAACAGGTGTCTGTATAAACAACAACGTCAATAGCAGGTGTCTGTATAAACCACAGCAATAACAGGTGTTTGTATAAACCACAACGTCAATAACAGGTGTTTGTATAAACAACGTCAATAACAGGCGTCTGTATAAACAACGTTAATAACAGGTGTCTGTATAAACAACGTCAATAACAGGTGTCTGTATAAACAACAACGTCAATAAGGACAGATATTTTGAAACGCACTGAACAAGTGTATTAGTGGTTGTGTGTCGTTCTGCGACACCAAAAGTCAGTTCATATTTTGTCAAGTCACTGATGTCACAGGTAGTTGTTTCTGTAATAAACATTTATCACAGGCACTTAGTACAGTGTATAAACGGATATTGATAATGTCTAATGATACATCTCGCAATTCCAATGTTCACATTCAGAATTTGTCGTGAATAAACTGTATTATGGTATTCCATATCCAATCTTTTGGTTTTGGAATTCTGTCGACCCCCTTTGATCATGTGATATGTACCTTGGTGAATATTGTGACAGTTAAACTTACCACAAAGAAATACAGCTAGTATTGTATAGCTCAGATACATTGTACTGAATCCAAGCACAGAAAGTGACGATATCAGAACAACTCTTATCTGTACTTTAAAATGGGCACAAGTTGGTCTGCAAGGTCATTGCGGAATAGCAAACTAAAGTGAGCAGGAGCTCACAAAGATAAGCCCTGTTATTCCTGATCTGTTGAAGGGCTCCTATCTAGTATGCAAGCTCTTTATTTCAAATAGGGCTCCGACCTTGACCTTGTGATTATCACAGTTTACAAAATGTAATACCCGACATTACTTTGCTGTCTGATTTCGTTAGGATTCTTAAAATAGTGTATTTTGAAATGAATGGATTGAAACACCGCGTTTAAGATTTTTTCTTGTGGTCTATATAGAATACAAAAGCAGGATTTCAACACGTCGCCAACCAATTGTGCTTTTCCTGGCAAACCTGGGTTGTCACATTGAACAAAGCTCCCGAAAATAGTGTTCTTTTTGTCCCTGTATTTCTAATCGCTTTTAAGAATTCGGTCGTGTAAAGTCCGTTACGGTCTGCTGAATTTCGATACACACTTAAGGGTTTTGTGTAGGCTTGTCTTTAGTCTATGGTATTTATCTTTTTTTCGTTCTTTTCTTTGCATGAAGTTAATCTGTGTGCGTGGTTCCAGATAATGTGACATTATCCTCATATAAAATATGACGGCTTGCGTGGGCACCGTGAAGGGTAATACTCCCAAATTATGTGACATTCTCTTCATATAAAATATTACGGCTTTCGTGGGCACCGTGAAGGGTAATACTCCCAAATTATGCGACATTCTCTTCATATAAAATATTACGGCTTTTGTGGGCACCGTGAAGGGTAATACTCCCAAATAAAGTGACATTCTCCTCATATAAAATATGACGGCTTTCGTGGGCACCGTGAAGGGTAATACTCCCAAATTATGTGAAATTCTCCTGGTATAAAATATTGCGGCTTTTGTGGGTACTATTTAATAGTACTTTTTAGTGTCCCACAAGTCCATTCATTTTGGCTGGATATTGATGTAATATTCAGTGTTTTATTAACTATATTATGTATGTAGATCAAAATGTGACACCGTAATGAGATAAATAATTATTTTATTAACATCGGCTAGTGGAGAACAGGTGACGACAGGAAAATCTCATGTAAATTATACAGCCATACATATTTCATTTTTCATATTCGAAAGAAAAATGCAACACGTTTTTATTTCAAATCCCTACTTTTTCGTGACATCATGTAATATAACTGAAAATTTAAAAACAAGCATCTTTGGTATCACAGTATTTTGTAAAGATAAAAGCATCAATTTGAAATGTCAAATTAAAAACCAAGTGTCTTTCTCATAGATCACAGCATCCAAGCAAGAACTTAAAAATACTACTAAAACGAGACGTTAAAAAGTAAGAATAGGGTATTCACACTAAATGAACAAGATGAGATATTCCGTCAGTATAATTGATAACGCCTATTTGTCCATTAAGGAATCTTTCTTTGGTCTAACCGAAGTGAAAATCGGTATGACAATATTTCCCGTTTTCAGACCTATCAACGGTTTTTCGCTAGTAGCCAACTGGATAATCTTAACCCCATTTGTTGCCTTCAAGGACTTCATCAGCTTTACAATGCAAAAATATTTCTCCTGCTGATGTAACAGACCAGTCATGTGATAGATTTACATCATGTAATAGACCAGTCACGTGAAAGATTTACATCATGTAATAGACCAGTCACGTGAAAGATTTACATCATGTAATAGACCAGTCACGTGATAGATTTAAATCATGTAATAGACCAGTCACGTGATAGATTTACATCATGTAATAGACCAGTCACGTGATAGATTTATATCATGTAATAGACCAGTCATGAGATAGATTTAGATCATGTTGCTTGATTTGAAGTTTTGGAGTCTTCTTGTCTTATTCCTGCTGCTAGACCAAGGGAATTTGGAGGACGGTGAAGACATAAACCATAATTTTATGGGAACGTTATTTCTTATTGTGATTTTAGCCTGACAGTCTGTCTTCACACATCTCATATAACATTTTTAAAAATGATACTGGCCGTTTATTACAAAAAACGACATAAAATAAAAACATGTATACACACATACACACATACCACACTTAATACCTATCCATCACATACGGTCAAGATATATAAAGGGTCGGTACCAGGTAAAACTGGCAATATGTCCATAAACCGACCAAGTCACACTTAAAATTTCCTAGTAAAGTTGGAACCGTCCAATAGAAAATTATCTTCAAGGGGCATATCCAGTGTCAATCTACGTTTCTTGTCGTTACTGAGGATCACGAAGAGCCTTCCGTCTGAACTATACGAAGTTTTTACACGGTCCAGTTTGTACGCTTCCTGTAGTCCTAACTGATTGATGCGCGTGAAGTCCTCAAATATTACAAAACGAATGTTCTTAAGATTCCGAAGGGCGCGAATGATTTCATGTTTCTAACGTTTGTGCGTAAACTTCACAATTATATTCCTTGGGTTGTTTCCATTTACTTTACCGAGTCTGTGCGCAATGTCTATATCGCTCTCCCGAACTGGTACTGTCATGGTATCCCGAACGAAACCGACGACGGTCTGTACACATTCCTCTGAAGATTCTTTCTCTCCAAGGTCTTTCAATCCAACTATCCTCATCGAATTCTTGCGGCCCTGCTGCTCTAAGTCATTATATCTCCCCAGAATATCGTTCTGTCGGACCTTGGTATCGTCGGATAGTTCCTTAAGTTTCGTCACTGTCTGTCTTAAGTCCTCGTTTTCGTGTTCTTGCACTCGTTTTCCCAGTAGTTCTATGCGTTCAGCATGCTCGATCTGAATATCAATACGAAGCTTCTCGAGCTTTTGATCCAAAACCCTCTCCGTCACCACGGACTTCAGCATGGAAAAAAAATCATCTAGCCGTTCGTCTGTCGACTTTATTCCAACACCGCTGGTCCTGTTGCTGGAAACACTCTGCCCACGAAAGGGTTTATTTCCTTCCAGCATGGCGGAAAGTTTACATGTAAGGATCTCCAAATCGTCAAAATAGCAATAGCTGTAAGTCCGCTTACACAAAGGGCTCGTTCAGGTAAGTATGCGGTATAAGCACGGTTCGTGCCCTGAGCAGCACGACGATTTACCCAACGCCTTCCCAACGCTACCCAACGCCTTCCCAACGCTACCCAACGCCTCCCAACGCCAACCCAACGCTTTTTGTTTTACAAGTTTAAAACCCCCAAAACTGAATTTAAAGTACTCTGTACTCAAAGCAATCTGTGCTGGGGAAGGGGTAGTGTAATAGGTATAGATAGAACCTTTAACCTAAGGAAATGTTATGTCACTGCTTTGTCATACAAAAACCAGAAAGTTGTACACAGACAAAGAAACGAACATCCAATAATGTTGGGGCCAATGTTACTACACTGGGACGGGGAAATGTCCACCTATCATTACTTCTTCTCCCATCTCAGTGCTTTGCTAGGTAGTACTACAAAATTTGTAATAGGCAGTGACGAAGAAAAGGCCATGACTCAAACTTTGAAGTGTTGCTTCTAATCAGCCACTTTTCTGCTCTGTACAAAACACATCAAAGAAAATATTCAAAGACACTTAGAAAAGTCAGGTACACCACTGAAAGACCGCCAGATGATAATCGGTACCATTTTTGGCGAAGACGGCATTGTCTTCAGCAAAGATGATGTTGATTACATTCATCGGTCAGATGATTTGGAAACATATTTTGAAAAATATCCAGCATTCAGATCATATTGGACGAAATATTCAGAGGAAAAAAGAAAAACATGTTGTCAAACCAATTCAAACAAACGAAATTTCTCAACTTTGGACTAACAATAACGCAGAGTCTATAAACAACAGACTAAAGCAAGCAGCTGACTGGAAGCAACACAAGCTTCCGGAACCTGTAGAAAAGTATCAAAGATACAGATGTTAGACATCAGGCGCTCACTACACGGCACCGGAAATTTTAGGTTATGTCCGAGCACAAAGACATTCGAAGTCAACACCGGAGACTGGGGGAACAAAACACAAGAAGAAAAGCAAGCACTCATCTTCAAATTTCTTTCGGCAGACAAAAAAAACGAGAGACAAAATTTGTAAAGGCTTCTAAATCTACATTCACTTGTCCTGTTCCAAAACAAAACTGTGGAAAAAAACATGTCGGAGAAAACGTTAAAGAGCTGAAAAATCAAATTCAAACTGAAAAAAAAACCCATAAAACCCCAGTTACTTCGAATGCCATTGCCGTATTACCATTATTATTCCTTTCCTCTAGGTCTCTGTATATGTTACGTATTTCATTATAGACACTACAATATCAGTTTCCGTGTGTCGGAGCCATGTATATATATATATATATACATGGCTTGATATTCTATTATATATATGGTGATCTATATTGTACCTATACCCCATCGGTGTGGAGCCTGGTCAATCGTGCCGATGACTCGGTTGAAGTGGTAAGAGTTGATACAACCAACACAGAAGCAGAGTTTTCGGCACGATTGATCAGACCGTGTAATAACTGCACATCTACAATTACTGTTCCCATCATTTATGTTGTGTTACTTTTTAAAGACTCTTAAATATCAGTTAACGCATGTCGGAGCCATGTATATATATACGTATACCCTATAGTAATTGTAGTTTTGTGAGGTGTAAATAAATGGGACTCGCTCCCAAGTCCTGGGTACATGTTGGTTTTTTTTTATAACAAACGTCGTGTAGCTAATGCTTTCCATATATTAACTGTATTGTTTAATATCATTTTTCATTTTATCAAATATATTTATACAATAAACACAATTTGCTTTCTACTTGTTATATCAATTACATGATATTTTATGATACACTTAGTTTTTTTTTGGTGTACTGTAGTGATATTGTCTCACCATTCATTGTTATTATACATATATTTTATATTTTCTTCGTGTTTGTTATACTAAATTAATTCAAAGTGCAACGATTGATTTGTTTTATTCACGTTCTAGTATTCTATTTATGTTAGCCATGTTTTCTTTGAATGTTTACACATTTATGTACATGCAAATTTAAGTTCCCTACATTTGTTATATAATCATGATTTAATAAAAAAAAGCATCGTTTAAAATTGTTTAATTGATTAACTGGAAAATGTCCGGAGTCCTTCATCTACAGTTTTGAGGGTTTTAAACTTGTAAAACAATTAGCGTTGGGTAGGTGTTTGGTGGCGTTGGGTAAATCGTCGCGCCCGTGCTGAGTAGTGGTCAAGCGTGGCACTCAATCCATGTTCACAACAGTTTGTCACAAAACATGCATCTAAAGTCGAAAGTTCCACAAAATTTATCCACTAATCCAAAGATATTTCACAGGAGCGATGTAGCCGTCGACTGACCAGTACCACGCGACCTTGACCTCCCCCCGCGAAACGTCATTTCTGAATTTTCATTTTTGGGGAATCTTATGAAGTCATGAAACGTCATGGTGCGAAACAACTTTGTGGCGAAAAGTCTGACATTCCCAAGAACATGTATCGACATACAAGTAAATGACACGGAAAACATTAAATTTAACCTGCAACTGGCACTGCCATTGCCGAAATACACCTGCCACATATATTTTTGCTGTATTCGGCAGTGACGGAAAACAGCTGTTTCAGCACGTGCTTAGTTAACTTCGAAACAATTGTACTTTTAAATTAAGTTTAACGATAAAAAAACATGTTGAAATAAGTGATGTTATATGTTGTAACAGAGACGTGTGATATATACGTCTCTGGTTGTAATGAACAAGTTCATTTACGAAAGTTCATAAAACCGCTGTCATGTCCATTGAAGTATGGAATTATATATTTCTGCACGGAACAATTATTTTGGTGTACATGTATACGTCATAAGGGAAAATTCAGCCGGAAACGTCAACGTCAGGTAAACAAAATTGTTGATGTTTTGATGAACTGATTTTCAGTCAGTGTTGCAGGGTAAAAAAATAAGGGGCCAGTGTTTTAAAATAAATCTGTATTTTGGTTCGGTATAGAAGGACGAATGCCAAGAGGCTCGGCAGACGTACATTCATTCATTCATAACGGTCCGGAGCCGATGTTCAGACGATATAGTACAACGTACAAAACACAATTTCATTTAAAGTGTAAGTGTTTATAGATATTACTCATATAAAGTATGTCTCATTTTTGTCACATGTTTTGATATCCGGGAAAATCCGGGCTTTATTTAGTGTCACCCCTCCTTTTTTAAAAACACAATCGTGATCTTAAAAACGCTTAAGAACTAATTTGGAAACTTGTCATTGAAATGGTATGTAATGTTTTGGATAATAAATATCGTTAATTAATGTAAGATGAATAGTTTCACTATGTTCAATGAAGACAGAAAACTTTACAACGGTTTTAAAGTAAAATCAGTGGAATCGTAGCAATACAGTCAAGTGTCTCTTCATGTGATGTAAAACGCGACTAAAATTTCATTCGTAATTACATAAGTCCTTCCACGTTCACGAAGATCACATAGCCCCCTTTATTACACAATAGCCTAATCCTGACTGAAGTATTACCAGAGATACAAGTTATTTATCTTGTTTTGTTGATTTATTGACATAATGCTATCCGATGTCAAGAACAATAATACTACTACTTTCAGTTTAGCTTATGTAGGTGTACGAAATGACATCAACACCCATTAAGTAAGTGGAAAATTCAAAGAGGAAGTAGGCCGAGTAGTTACACCAATAGTACGACGTCTTTTATTTATCATATCCTGCTGGATTTTATAAATGATTGATAAATCTAGTTCTAATTTGATTGGAAATATTCATATATTGTGAAAATGTATTAACTATACTTTCGTTTTCAGTTTAGAAATGAGTTTGTAAATTTCCTTTTCAGAAAATGTCATATTCCTGAGGCATTCAACATTCCTATCTTAAACAGTGAAACAGTGTGAAGATTCCCATTGCATTACCACGATGGATAATTAATACCATATAGAGCATTATAGGTTGTGACAGAAGCCAGAAGTCTTCTTTCTGTTAATCAGAACTTTTTTATAGATATGTCATACAAAGTGAAGGAAAAGTTGATATACTTTGTGGATGATGGATAGGAGGAGATGATGGAAATTACTGACAACTTGGGACAACAGCTTGCTATTGCTTTGAGAAATGGAGACGTTGAAAAGGCAAAAGCTTGTGTAAAGAATTTATCACAAGCAAAGGTGAAATGTGAAATAGATTTAGATATCAAAAATGTGAATGACACTGCAAGAGAACAGGAAATAAGGTACCTTTTGAACTACAGTTTATGGTTATTTTATTACAAAGAGATAGTAAATTTAGTTTGAAGAAATTATTTTGCATTTGAGACAGATGGTTGATTTGGTGAATTGAAAGTGTATCAGCTTTTGTTTTGAAATCCATTGCTAAAAGTTCTGTTGATTAACTCTTTCTGTAATTACAGACTCGCAGACATATGACATATTTTAGTGTTAACAAAAGAATTTACAATTCTGTTTAAGTATGTACTAAGCTATGTAATTTGGAAGCAAACAAGGTGCTTGACAATGATTTATAAAATTATTTTTTTGTATAATATTGTAGTGTGATATCCATAAATGCTTCCAAATTTTAGATAATGATAATTTGACAAACAACACATCTTTTTAGTACTTAAGATATGTATATATCAGTGTTGTGAGAAAGATTGAAGTAATTATTTTTCAGTATTAAAGTTCACATAGAGGATCGTAATCAATCTGGAGATTTGGCTTTAACGCTGAAAGTAAAACTGAGTGATACCATTCAACTTCTGAAAGGAAAAGTAAGTACAGTAAATTGTTTATGTTAAAATGACTGTAAAATCCCAAATTTTCATGGAAGGTTTATTTTCTTTGATTTCATAGATACAGCCCTGAATTCATATATCCATGAAATCTTAAATATAAGTTGATTCTTTGAGTTATTTATATATTCCCATGAAATTCAATGTCCACAAAATAGTAATTTTTTGAAAAAACACAAAAATTGAGTCCCACGGAAATATATAATTTTGCTGTAGAAGAGGAATAGAGCTACCACTATTTCAGTCTTTGTCTGCTCCTAAACATTAGCAGGAAACTCCATGGAAAAAAGGTTCCAGCCTAATACAGCAACTCCACTGAACTATGTATCTTGAATGTTAGGGGAAATGGTATTATGAAACAACTTCACAGTGTTGTTAGATAGATGATTTTTTCAGTTTATGTTTTGCTGAACTGTTTTGCCAAATATTTGTCCTTTCTAGCCCTTTCTTAAAAAAACAGCTGGCAAAGTAAATAGTTATCCACCTACATTTATTATGTAAAGTTGATTTGTGAGAACTCCTTCTCATAACATTCATTTTTATCTTTTGTAACATTGTCCAGAATGTCAGTATAACCACTCATTCAATCATTTCATGAAAACAAAAGAAAACACAAATTAAACAAAAATAAACAAGATTTGATTTGGAGTTGACTTTCAAAGATTTTGACTTCAGTTTGGACAGAATGAATGTATTGTAAATAAAAAGGATGAGTGTAATTGGATATCAATTCTTACAATGTAAAATTCACTGACATTCATTGACAAAATAATGTTTTCTCAATAACTGATGTTTATTGACACACCCCCCACCCCTCCCCCGTCAAAAAAAAATAAAAAAACCTTCTCATTAAGATAAAAGGCTATACATTGAAAACTTCATTCTGATTGATCATGATATACATAATTGAAGCTCAAAAATAAATAAGAATAAACTGGTGAGAGTAATTAGCTTATAATGTACAAGCAGACCAGGTTTGACTAGACTGAAGGTTCCTAAGAATTAGAACTAGTCAAGCTTATGCCAAGCCATTGCATTTATGTACTCTATGCTGTAATACGCACAGGGTTGGAAGTGCAGGGTGGATGGAGTGATGGCAGTCTGTAATATTAACACTAAAAGTGCGGGGTGGGCTTATTGCAGGGCATTGCAACTGATATTTTGGATTGTAGTTGTTTGTAATTTTACTGAACAACATGCTAGATATATGTGGACTTATCTGCAGGAATCATTAGAGGCTGTTTAAACATTTTACATTTCAACTCTTCCTTAGATGATGCTTAAGTACCGATTTCCTATGGAGGTACAAAGGTGGGTGATAAACAAGCGGGTTGGGTCGGACCATGACACTCTGAGAAGACTAGGTGTCCGGGACGGTGACATTGTGCACTTGTATCTCATGTCAGCGAAGTCTGTTGGACTCCGCAAGGAGGAGTTTGACCAGAAATTGGAAACTGTTATCCTGAATCCAGGTAAACCTCGGTGATCATAAATCAGTGTTATAATTATTTTTAAATCCGCTGGTAATCAGGGCACAGGTGTTAATGAACTCTAAACTACAATAGGTCCTGTCATAACATTCTTCTTACCATCAAAGTTTTTGATTTATTTTATGCTCGACTATAAAACGAGGAGGCAAGTAGCTTTGCCCATGTCCATTTTGTCTCGTCCTGTAATTCACAGATTCAACGCTGAAACTAATTTTACATGGCGGTGGAAGCATTTATGTCTTACAAGAATTGTCTTTTAATTCATTGGTTTATGAAGAACAACAAAAGGTTCATGTTTTTTATTTGTGTTCATGAAGCTCTTAATCATTTACCTATCTATAGAATCAGCTGGATCCTGTTTCTAGAATATAGAAATCACAAATAGATATTTCAAACAAAGGGAATAGAAGATGCTATAAGGATTAAGCTTAACTATTCTTTACCAAGCTCTGAGGTTGGTACATTTGAAAAGTCTGTATCATTCTTACAAAGGGTATGGACAGTACCGAGAGAGAGAGAGAGTCATTACAAGTTTGATAATAAGGTTTTTTACAGCCATTGTAATGAGGAGTCCCTACACTGAATCTGTGGTTTCATGGTGAGCTGAAGTAAGGAATCAAATTACAAACCTCTTTCAAATTTGTCCAGTCTCTAGATCCAACATATCTGAGAGACCAAAATTATAAAACTGAATTCTTTAGAGACATGGACCATTCTGGGATATTCCAGACAAGTTGCGAAATTCTGTACCTTTTAAGAACACTTTCTAAAAACTTTTCAAAGTATTGTTAGCATCTAAGTATCTTTCCTGTTGTTATTTTGGACCGACAAACAGAAGGAAATACTCTCGGTCAATTCAAAATTAATTTGTACGTTCATCACCTGATGGTTTTGAAAATTAAACTATCTGTGTTATATTTGATCCGAGCAGAAGCAACGAGTGAGTAAATCCAGTTTAATTTATCTAGGACATATGTCATACATACTACTTATATCTACTGCAAAGATTTACTGAAATGCATGAAAAATTGCTTTGCGCCGGCAACAATTCATTTGGATCTTTTGTTTTATGAGACGATTTTGATCCCCACTGAATAACTACAGCATTGCTGAGCATCAGGAGATAAACACAATCATAACTGATAATTCATCCTGAGGTCTGGTCCCACCCCTCTTGTTTACATTTATCTCAAGTCTTGTTTACATTTATCTCAAAACTGTTGTGTACGTTAATCTCAAGACTTTTTTCCTTTTAGCTCCAGACTGTTACTTACATTATCTTCAAAACTGTTGTGTACATTAATCTCAAGACTTTTTTCCTTTTAGCTCCAGACTGTTACTTACATTATCTTCAAAACTGTTGTGTACATTAATCTCAAGACTTTTTTCCTTTTAGCTCAAGACTGTTACTTACATTATCTTCAAAATTGTTGTGTACATTAATCTCAAGACTTTTTTCCTTTTAGCTCAAGACTGTTACTTACATTATCTTCAAAATTGTTGTGTACATTAATCTCAAGACTTTTTTCCTTTTAGCTCAAGACTGTTACTTACATTATCTTCAAAACTGTTGTGTACATTAATCTCAAGACTTTTTTCCTTTTAGCTCAAGACTGTTACTTACATTATCTTCAAAACTGTTGTGTACATTAATCTCAAGACTTTTTTCCTTTTAGCTCAAGACTTAATTACATTATCTTCTAAACTGTTGTGTACGTTAATCTCAAGACTTTTTTCCTTTTAGCTCAAGACTGTTACTTACATTATCTTCAAAATTGTTGTGTACATTAATCTCAAGACTGTTTTCCTTTTAGCTCAAGACTGTTAATTACATTATCTTCTAAACTGTTGTGTACGTTAATCTCAAGACTTTTTTCCCTTTAGCTCAAGGCTGTTATTTACCTTAATCCCAAAAATGATATTTTGAATCCAGTCTTAATGACTTGTGTAAGATGTTTAAAACTAAAATATTTACTTAAAACAGCTATGATGATCCAGATTTGATTTTCTCTATTCTGACATACTTTTTCATGTTTTTTTTTTTTTATCATTAATTATTTCTTTTCAGATATACAATATGTTCATACTGTAATTTTTCACACAGATGGCACTCCTCCCACTCCAGAAACTCCCATGTCTTGTGTGTCAACGCGTGGATTACCTCCCAGTCGACAAAGGTCAAATCTGAGCCAGGCAAGCGATAGGTCGTCTCTCAACCAATCACAATTAAACCTGAGTGAGGACCTTTCTGGGTTACTGAGGGCACAGGAAGATCAAGGGTCACCATCATTGTCAGGTCAAGGGTCACCATCGTTGTCAGGTCAGATGCCAAGGTCAGGTCAGCCTCAACCTGATGTGTATGAACCTGTCATGGAGCCTGCTTCTACCCAACGGGAAGGATTAGAGGTAAAATACATTCTACATTGGTGACATGGTGAACTGTTAGTGTTGTTTACATTCCATCTACTCTTGATTATTTTGTTGCTAATTCTGAAGACTCAGTTGAGAGGTCTTTCTGAAATTTCACATAGAGATACATATCATCCTATGATCTGTATTTGTGTCAATATGTAAATTTTGAGATTGATTGATTCAGAATTTGATTAATGATCTTTACTGCTCTTTTTCGGAATTTACCTTAAAGTTCTAAATGCATTCTTGTTGATGTATTTTTGATGTATCATTAATTTTGAGACTAACCGAAAGAAAGAAATAAATGCCATGTGCAGCTATCTGTGAATGTTGAAGTTTGTGAGGGCTTTTGTCCAGAAGTGAGTTATCTTTCTCAGATTTCACATAATGATATTGAAAGATCATTAAATGTGCTTGTTTAATTTTGAGATTGACACTGTTAAAAAATATGACAGGCAGATAGTATAAACAAGAGGCCAATTGGCCAGTATAAACAAGAGGCCAATTGGCCATAATGGTCATCTGACAATGAAATCATTTATTTCAGACATTATTACCGTTTCAGACAAAATGGTTGAAATCATTGATGCACATAGAAATACTAGCATTGGAAAGCCAAAATTTCATCAGTCAGATGAACTTTCTGAATTTAAGAATGATTTCCCAAATGATGTATCAGACCAAATGAATTGAATCAGGAAGAGTAAGGGTGAAAGCAAAATTTTAGCCAAATTTCTTATTTGGAGCTTCTCCTTGAGTCCCAGAGGCTGAATCATTTTTTGTGTAGCTTGCCTGCCCAAATTGACATATAGGTATTACTATGTCAGCGGTGTTAGTGTCGTCCGCGTTGCCGTCTGCACAAAGATTGTTTTCGTGATAAATTGAGTTCACTGTGGCCAATCAAGTTCAAACTAAATAATGCCTAAAGTCTTTGCTTTCGATTGCTTTTCAGGTCTGAAGGTTGAAGGTCAAGGTCAATATTACTATAAATAGGAAATTATTTTTTCGCCTGACAACTTCAATGCACTTTAGCCAATCTACCTCAAACTACATAAAGTGCATTCTTATAAAAAGTGCTTGCTTGAGATTGCTTTTCAGGTCCAAAGTTCAAAGGTGAAGGTCACTGTTACTATAAATAGGAAATTGTTTTTTTCATGATAACTTCAGTTCCCTTTGGCCGGTCAACATCCAACTTCATACAGTGCTTCCTTACCAAAAATGCTTCCATGAGAGTTCTGTTGAGGTTTGATGGTTTTGTAAATACCCCCTTAAGGAAATAAAGATCAAACCCTCAAAATGTTTTTTGTAAACATAACACTATATGTAGTTTCAAAACAGTGTTTGGCCAGTATTTGGAGATATCTATGAAAATATTTTTTTTTTTTTAATTTAAGGAGAACATATGCTTTTTCAAATTCTTTACTGTATGTCACAGAAACTGTTAGTTAACACAATGTACTGCAAATTAGATTGATTTCCTTGATTTTACATCCGTTTTAACATGTATAGCAAATGCTCATCTTCACGTTACTAATATTGATACACTGTACATCGAAGTTATTGCAAATTAACATTTTCATATCTTTAAAAGATCAGAATTAAAATAAAAATATTATGTTGAATTAGTAAGGAAAATCAATCCTTGGGATTCAGTTCTCTTCAACACTATTGATCAAATCTACAAGTTTACTAATCTCATCTCGATCAAATGGACAAATTATATATATGGAATAAATACAATGGCTTTTGTTCCGTAAAACTTTTCTCCAGAAACCTTGCTGGACAGGCAACATATCCCCTTCTGTGGAATTCTCGTCTGAATTAAAAAGGTTGCATTTTCCTAATGACATTTCAGGAACAGTTGGTTGTAGTAGGTTGAGGCATTATGGAAGAATGGGGTTATAAAGCGAAATTTTAGCTAAATTTCTATTTTTGGACCTTGCCTCCCAGTCCCGAATGGTCAAATCCATTTCCTAAAGTTAAGAACCATGGGTATTGATTATATAAATGTATATATATATAGATACTAGTATATTCAACCTTTAACCTTTATAATTTTCGTGATCATTATACGAAAGTAATCATAGTCTCTAGCACGTGTAGTGATAGGATGTTATGTCCTTCAAACACAACCTCATTACATCACACACTGGGCTTGAATGTCATATGTTTTAAAATGCCACAACAAAATAGTCTGTTAGAAATATGGAACTGATGCCAGTATTAGTAAAATTTTTCTTAACAGAAGCTTGATGGAATACATGTTAGAATCCTTTTTATAAGGATACTGTGGTGTCCGGCATCTGTTGTCTGTCAACTTTTTTTACAAATCGTTACTAGTCATGAACAACTGAGGGGATTTTCACCAAACTTGATCAGAAGCATCCTTAGGGGAATGGGAACATATTTTTTGTAAACGATGTGTTCCAGCCCTCAAGGGCCTGAAGGGGTGGAGCCCCAAAAGGGGAATTTTGCTAGTTCTTTAAAATCCTACTCCTCCTGCAAGAATGATTGGATTTTGTCCTAATTTGGTCAGAAGCATCTTTTGATGAAATGAAATCAATTTTGTTGGAACGGTGGATATCGGGGCCCCCTGGTACAGAAAGGGTGTGGCTCAATATGGGAAATAGACCAAATTCTTTAATCCTACTCCTCTTGTAGGAATGATTGGATTTTGTCCGAATTTGGTCTGAATCATGTTTCGATGAGAGGAATCAATTTTGTATAAACAATGGGTCATGTTCCCCTGGGGCGGGGACTAATAGGGAAAGTAGAACAAATTCTATAAAATCCTACTCCTCCTGTAGGAATGCTTGGATTTTGCTGAAATTTAGTCAGAAGCATCTTTGGTCCATTGGAAATCAATTTTGTATAAATGGTGGATCTCGGCCCCCTGGGGCAGGAGAGGCGGGGCTCAATATGGGAAATCCAACAAATTCTTTAAAATCTTACTCCTGTATTCCTCGCCCCATTTTAAGGGATTCAGTTTCATGGTACTATCTTTAAAACACCCCTAAACCATATATAACAATGCCTTTGGTGTGGCCCCACCCCTCTGGACTTATTTTTTGGTTGATATCTTTGAAACCGTAGAAATCCCCAATCCATATTTATATATATATAGAATTGCTTGGCACTCAGAGATAAATAATTTTTTAGGTAAGAATTCACCCTTGGGTGTGGCACACCCAAAGGGACATAATTTCTGGTCATAATTTTCATGTAGTTGAGTCACTAACTCAATAACTCTTCCTGGGAATCAAAAAAGAAATGCTGCCGTGATGTAAGTATTTCTCCATTGATCCTGCTCCCTCAGAGAGGTCAAGTGATTGAACTTTAATGTGGAAATTCATTTGAAACTCGATGTCTCAATATCGCTTGAGTCGAAATTCCCTTTTGAGTCAAAATAATTTTCAAGTCCTGATTTTTTCCCTTCTTTAACTTTGTGACTTTAGTATGGATGACTCAAATTTTATGGATAGGAAAAATCGGTATTGGCACATCTTCTGATGGAATTGGTCATTACATACACAGAGTAGTAAGTCACTGGTGTGTAACACATGGCTAATTACAGTGTATCGGTGGTCCATCGTACGCACAACATTTGGGCTCTGGTGATCAATTACCAGTTTAATTATCTAATTATAGATTGGCTTCTTAATCAGTGTCACCACCCTGTAGTGATGACTTACCTGTACATTAAAAAAGTAGTGTGTGTGCACAAAACATGAAGATGAGTTAGAGTCGAAATTCAGATCAGTCGAAATATTTTCCACAGTCCCTTGAATTTTGAGATTATGAGTTTTGACTGTATTTGAAATACCCAACATACAGGCATGTATAACATTGCTGGGCTTTAACATCCAGGTGAGCGATACAGGCTCTGGGGGCCTCTTGTTTAACAAATAATGTATGATAAGATGTAAAATGTTGAAAATTTGTTTGTTGTTGTTGTTGCTTTATCAGAAAGACGGAAACAATAGACTGTTCCATGATGGTAGTTACTTAGCAGACAAACTCAATGTTTTCAATATGTTTTTGTAATCAGTAAAAACGAAACTGTATTTCAATGAAGAAAAATCTCAGACTTTGCCATTGATTCAGTTTTCCCTGATAACTTAAACAAAATAGAAAATTTATCTTCTGATATCTTTGTTAATAACCAAGCTTAGATGACAGCTTTCATAGGATTATTTCATTGAATTAATTTTGAATTCATGTTTGTTTTCTGCTGGTGCAGTCAAGCTTACTTATTTTCAGTTTTTTTCTGTTGAAAAAAAATCTTTTAATTTTAAGAGCTCTTTTTAAGGGTAAAAGCAGCTAGTTAACCAGTTGGACTTTGCAGTTTGTTTTTCATATTTATTTTGTTTATTGGTAAGTTTTTTTACTCAATACACAAACGATCAGAAGAATTGATTTATGTTTTTAAGGATGGCAGATGGAGTTGTCCACAATGTACCTTTTTTAATGAGCAAGGAAAATCTACCTGTGCCATGTGTGCCAGTGCTCGCCCAGATTCTTACCAGATCCCAAACCTAGGACGACCAGAGGTCAACCGCTCCATTGGTAATGAGGTAAGCTGTTACAGTCTGAAGGTAATGAGGTAAGTTGTGTGTTACAGTCTATAGGTAATGAGGTAAGCTGTTACAGTCTATAGGTAATGAGGTAAGTTGTGTGTTACAGTCTGTAGGTAATGAGGTAAGCTGTTACAGTCTATAGGTAATGAGGTAAGCTGTTACAGTCTATAGGTAATGAGGTAAGCTGTGTGTTACAGTCTATAGGTAATGAGGTAAGCTGTGTGTTACAGTCTATAGGTAATGAGGTAAGCAGTTACAGTCTATAGGTAATGAGGTAAGCTGTGTGTTACAGTCTATAGGTAATGAGGTAAGCTGTGTGTTACAGTCTATAGGTAATGAGGTAAGCTGTTACAGTCTATAGGTAATGAGGTAAGTTGTGTGTTACAGTCTGTAGGTAATGAGGTAAGCTGTTACAGTCTGGAGGTAATGGTAATGAATGAGGTAAGCTGTGTGTTAAGCTATAGGTTACAGTGTTACAGTCTGTAGGTAATGAGTAATGAGGTAATGCTGTGTGTTAATGAGGTAAGCTGTTACAGTCTGTAGGTAATGAGGTAAGCTGTGTGTTACAGTCTATAGGTAATGAGGTAAGCTGTGTGTTACAGTCTAGGTAATGCGGTAAGCTGTTACAGTCTGTAGGTAATGAGGTAAGCTGTTACAGTCTGTAGGTAATGAGGTAAGCTGTTACAGTCTATAGGTAATGAGGTAAGCTGTTACAGTCTGTAGGTAATGAGGTAAGCTGTTACAGTCTATAGGTAATGAGGTAAGCTGTTACAGTCTATAGGTAATGAGGTAAGCTGTTACAGTCTATAGGTAATGAGGTAAGCTTTGACTAATTAGCTACTTTATATGCCATGTTTGGAAATAAGTGCAGATAACTTAACATTGAATTAGACACAAAGTAAGGAGTGGGCTTATTACAGGAAGAGAGTACATGGTATTTAAAAAGCTTTATTAAGCTCACATGGCCTGAAGAAATAAGTCAGTTTTCCTTCAGCTGTTGTCTGTTATCCTTTGTCTGTTGTCTGATACTTTTTTCTACAAAATGCTGCTAGTCATGAACAATTAATGGGATTTGGACCAAATTTGGTCAAAAGAATCGTAAGGGGAAGTAGAACAAAATCCGACCTGTGGGAATGAATGGATAATGCCCAAATTTAGTCTGAAGTATTCTTGGATGGCTGAAGCAGAATCAGTTGTGTATTAACAGTGGATTCTGGCCCTCTGGGGTGGGAGGGGTATGTCCAATTAAGGAAATAGAGCAAATTCCTTAAAATCCTACTTCTCCATTAGGATTGATTAGATCACCCAAATTTGGTCAGTTTTTATCAGGTGAAGGAGAACAAATTTGTGTAAGGATTGGTTTTCAATTCCAAGGGGCCTTAGGGATGGGGCCTAAAAGGGGAAATTCTTTAAAATCTTACTCCTTCTATAAGAATAAATGATCTGAAGTATTCTTTGGTTAAGGGGACTAAGTACTGTATAAACAGTGCAGCCTGACCTCACTAGGGTGGCAGGGAAGGGCCCAGTTGGGGAAATTTATGTTCTTAAAAATCCATCTTCCAAACAGGGATATTGTTTGAAGTTTGGTCTGAAGCAATTTTTATAAATAGTGAATCTGACCTCAGTTTGACCACATGGGCGGAACCCAATATGGAAATTAAATCAGAATTTTTTTGTCATATTTGAAAGTTTTTATTAATTGACTGAATAGCTGAATTAGCATGATGAGTGTTGCAGGCCCCTTGGGCCTATTGCTTTCTGTATATATGTCCTTTTGCTATGTTTTGCTTGCTGTTATATTTCACACAGCCAGTCACTTCTGTTAGAATGCCATTTAAAAGTTTATATTAGTCCTGAATGTGTGAATTTAAATGAAATCTTAATCTTACTGTGGGTTTAGGATAGAGAGATTAGGAGACATAAATTCTTGTGTATTTTGCATTTGGCCTTAAAATTACCATACCAAAAAAGCAGGGACAGGTGAGACATGAAATTATTTGTAATTTCTGTTTGTGTCCTATGTAACAGACTGTTGATGGAGAAAATGTACTGACAAACTTGCCAATGACTGGAGTACACAAAAATTTAGCGATCCTGCTGAAGAGGAAAACCCCCAATGTGGATCTGATAGGCTGGATGAAGGTCTGTTTTTAACCACTAAGAGAGGATTTTGAAATTCAAAATAATTTTATCATAGATTCATCAAATTGTTTGAAGTAAAATGAATTCCTCTACCTAAGCTATAATATTTTTTACCAGAATTTTTGTGATTAAAATGGGTTTTGGGAATTTTAGTTAATGGAAAACAAGAATCAGGAGAAAAAAAAAAGAATTCTGAAGTTATAACAGAGGAATAAGTGTCAGATTTTTTTGTCACTCAGGATGGATACAGAAAAAATTACCTGTAGTAACATTGTTACCCATTATAGATAGGTACCTGTTACATAAAGGTTACCTGTTGTAACATCATTACCTGTTACATAAAGGTTACCTGTTGTGACATCGTTACCTGTTACATAAAGGTTACCTGTTGTAACATCGTTACCTGTTACATAAAGGTTACCTGTTACATAAAGGTTACCTGCTGTGACATCGTTACCTGTTACATAAAGGTTACCTGTTGTGACATCGTTACCTGTTACATAAAGGTTACCTGTTGTGACATCGTTACCTGTTACATAAAGGTTACCTGTTGTGACATCGTTACCTGTTACATAAAGGTTACCTGTTGTAACATCGTTACCTGTTACATAAAGGTTACCTGTTACATAAAGGTTACCTGCTGTGACATCGTTACCTGTTACATAAAGGTTACCTGTTGTGACATCGTTACCTGTTACATAAAGGTTACCTGTTGTGACATCGTTACCTGTTACATAAAGGTTACCTGTTGTGACATCGTTACTTGTACTAGATAAGCTACTAGTAATGATAAAATTATGAACACTTGTATACAAGATAAAATGTATTCACCATGTAACTTGTTTTGATAAACAGATGGCGTACACCCCAGCATTGATGAAAAGTAAAGATTTTATCAGGACTGTAGTGACATGTGTGTGTGAAGATGCGATCAATAGTAAGTCTGTTTGTAAGCTGTTATATACTACACATACATTACGGTATACCACAGTAAGATTATCTGCACTGAAATTCACCTAAATTGAAGAAAATGAAAAAGGCGTTTGTGTTTTTTTTTTCTGTATTATTCCAGTTAATGGGTTGCCATGTTTCAAATTCTTTGCACCAGTTTCATTCTTTTGGGGATATATTATCATACAGTGTGGCATTTCCATATCAGTCCGGGCTATCAATAATCATTATGTCCCAGACTTAGGTAAGATGAAGGTGATAGGGGTGGATTGTTATGTGATAACTGTATAGAATATCTCAATAACCCATTCAGTTCATATTCACTCCATAGCATCACCCCACCAAAGTCTACACCTGATACAATTAGGTGGTCGGTGGTCAAGATTAAAGGTCAAAGTTCACCTTGACCATTTCTTTAATAAAAAAATTGTCTTCAAGGTATTTCGTGAAGCCCTGGACAGTTTTACTTCATATTCACATTATAGCATCACCCCACTAAGGTCTACATCTGATTTTAGTGGTCATTGGTAAAGGTTAAAGGTCAATGGTAAAGGGTAAAGGTCAATGGTCACCCTTGACTCCTTTTGAAATAAAGATTTTGTGTACAAGAAACCTCATAAAAATTTCTTAGCAGTTATAGTTCATATTCACATGTACAACATATCACTCCACTATCAAGTTGTACTGCAGAATAGATTTTGGTTATTGGTCGAAGTTAAAGGTCAAAGGTCATTTATGATCTCTTTAGAAATGAAAAGCTTGTATACGAGATATTTGCATGAGCCCTTTGATAGATTAGTACCTCGATAGATTTAGATCAGAAGGAAATGTGAGGGATGAGGATATATCTTTGTGAGCCCCTGCTCACTTCGTTTTGAATGACATTCTTGATTTAATCATAAAATGAGAATGGACAATATTTTGTGGTTAAGCTGCCGCAAGTTATTTTCATTCTGTAATCAAATGTTGTGACAAGGTCATAGTTGTCAATTAAGGTAAATCTTCAAACCACTTATTCTCAATTACTGAAAGGCCTAGGGAGTTTGTATTATGCTGGGCCATCAAGTTAATTCAATTGAATGATCTTGACCCACTTTCAAGGTCACTGTGATCAATTGTGTTAAAATCTTCAAATCATAACCCCTATTTTTCTCAATAACCAATTTTATTAATATTGAGTCTGAGGCATGCTAGGTTATGGAGTTTATCAAAACAAATGACCTCTAAATTTATCAAGGTTAAAAGAGTCAAACATAGTTAAATAATTGAAACAACTTCTTTTCAATAACTGAGAGGGCCAGGGTCTTGGTATCTGATCAGTTTCATGTTGGCATGTAGTGTGCTGTGTTTTTTGAGAATGGCATTGTACAAGAGAAATATCAGGGGTAGATGATATCATATGTATGGCTTCATGGCTTGAGACTTTAAATACTCTGGGTTTTTTTTCAAGGAAAAGGTGCAATATTCTCTCAGTGTACCAACAAGATGTTTTATTGACAATCATTTAATAGTCTATATTTTCAGAGGTACCGTAAGTGTGGCATTCTTCATGGACCAAGACAAGATCTCTAGCCATGTTTTATCATTGAATGCTCTATATTTTCAGAGCTAGGCACAATATTTGTTGTGGACCAGCACAAGATCATTGACCGTGAGGTGTTACTGATGGAGGTGTTAGACAACCAGGAGTCTAGAATGGTGGAAGCTTTAATTGCCTTGCAGAATCTTTACCACAAACTACAATACCCAGAAGGTATCGCCAGTGTCTCTATGTATCTTTACTGTATTTATCCTGTAATAAGCCTGGAGGTCGTGACTTTCTCTGAAAAAATCAAGGAATGGGCTTATTAATTTGTCAAGGCTTTGTTGTTCTAGAGACTATAGATTGTTCTGGTATTTTTGAGAATACAAGTCAGTAGTCTAGTTCTGAAGTTCTAGAGGCTACATCAACATGAGTGTCCATGCAATTTGTCTATTACTTTCCATCGTTTAATTACATTGTAATAACAGTCCTTGTTGATTATTGATTAAAATTGTGTTTCCTTTCACAGGAATTCTGCCTCGGCTGTTTGAAGTGATGTTTAACGACGGAATTATTTCACTGGCGGCATTTAAGACGTGGGAGCGGCGTTATGATGATTCCCAATCTAAAATAAAGGCTCTGTATGACACTCAAACATTTCTAAATGACATACATGCTGACACTGAGATTGAATTTGACTGAACATTTTGAACTGTTAGTTTACACAATAAATATGCATCACAGTAACAGATTAAAATCTTTGTTTTTCATCAGTCTGCTATATCCTCTTAAGGTGAAGTTCCTAGGTGTTTGGTTGGATCCCTACATCGGGCATGCTTTATCTCTCAGGCAGCTCAAATTAAAGTTGATCCGGTAATGTTTCCGTGTCCTTGGGTAAGACACTTGGATAGCATGTGATGGGCCCCTGGCATGATGTTCAGTGAGGTAGCCACTAGCTACTACAAGAAGACCTTGCCTCAAAAGATGATAAACCCATCAAGTGACTGCAGTTGATCTCCATTTTGCTGATCATGGCGTGGATCGTGTCACAATGAATACTATCTTCAGTCATCATCTCTGCACCCCTCGGACATGTTATGGCAAAATTGAATATTCTATATGCGACACCTAGTGGACAAGACGAAAAGACTAATTTAAAATTTCAATGTACATCAAACGAATCTCGAGGTCGCAAAACAGTATATTGTAATGGCTTTGTAGGTGTCGCTCCTTTGTAATTTTAAAAATGAGCATATTAGCCTGTGATTGGTCATTCTTTTTCTCCTGGAACCAATCAAATTACATTGCTTGTACCTTCAATTTTGCCAGGACATGTTCCAGGGGTACAGAGAGCTAAAGTGATAGTAACCCCTGAAGTATCGAGGATGGTTCCAGGGGTACAGAGAGCGAAAGTGATTGTAACCCCTGAAGTATCGAGGATGGTTCCAGGGGTACAGAGAGCGAAAGTGATTGTAACCCCTGAAGTATCGAGGATGATTCCAGGGGTACAGAGAGCGAAAGTGATTGTAACCCCTGAAGTATCGAGGATGGTTCCAGGGGTACAGAGAGCGAAAGTGATTGTAACCCCTGAAGTATCGAGGATGATTCCAGGGGTACAGAGAGCGAAAGTGATTGTAACCACTGAAGTATTGATGATGGTTCCAGGGGTGCAGAGAGCGAAAGTGTTCGTAACCCCTGGAGTATCAAGGATGATTCCAGGGGTACAGAGAGCGAAAGTTCTTGTAACCACTGAATTATCGAGGATGATTCCAGGGGTACAGAGAGCAAAAGTGATTTTAACCACTGAAGTATTGAGGATGGTTCCAGGGGTATAGAGAGGGAAAGTGATTGTAACCCCTGAAGTATCGAGGAGAGTTCCAGGGGTACAGAGAGCTAAAGTGATAGTAACCCCTTAAGTATCGAGGAAGGTTCCAGGGGTACAGAGAGCGAAAGTGATTGTAACCCCTGAAGTATCGAGGATGGTTCCAGGGGTACAGAGAGCGAAAGTGATTGTAACCCCTGAAGTATCGAGGATGATTCCAGGGGTACAGAGAGCGAAAGTGATTGTAACCACTGAAGTATTGATGATGGTTCCAGGGGTGCAGAGAGCGAAAGTGTTCGTAACCCCTGGAGTATCAAGGATGATTCCAGGGGTACAGAGAGCGAAAGTTCTTGTAACCACTGAATTATCGAGGATGATTCCAGGGGTACAGAGAGCAAAAGTGATTTTAACCACTGAAGTATTGAGGATGGTTCCAGGGGTATAGAGAGGGAAAGTGATTGTAACCCCTGAAGTATCGAGGATGGTTCCGGGGGTACAAAGAGCTAAAGTGATAGTAACCCCTGAAGTATCGAGGATGGTTCCAGGGGTACAGAGAGCGAAAGTGATTGTAACCCCTGAAGTATCGAGGATGGTTCCAGGGGTGCAGAGAGCGAAAGTGATTGTAACCCCTGAAGTATCGAGGATAATCTCCATTGAACAAAGATAATCCAGGGGAACAAGACCATATAAGGAATGAAAACACACAATTACTGTACTCTTAGGTTCAGAAAGTTTTGAATAAAACAATTAAGGTAAAACTGTCTTGAATCTGTTCTGAATATCAAGTTATACAAGGCCCTGTAATTATATAAGAGTCACTTTTTGCATAACCTTTCTGAAATGGTCGAGTCAAATTATTCCGTATTTCAATTAACTGGTAAGGGATATCAGAGATGTTATATGTTAATATAAATAAGTTAATAATACAGTTTCGGAGTTTCTGGTCAGACAGAAAACAATGAACCAATAATAAATAGGTTCCATACTAACCCTTTCCCCTTAACATTTCCAGAAATATGTGTGTGCACCAACCCTGCTGGAATTCTGAACACTAATGTCATTTAACCAGTTTGTTTTAGATAGTTATGGCTGGACTTGTCAAACTGCACATGCAAAATATTCCACAAACCAACCATAGTCTTGATCAGTGCTTGGTGTTTTTCTTACAAGTTCAGCTGGTCTAGTTGTTAAACCACATATGTGAAAGCAGTTCTGGTTTCAGGATAATGCTGGTACCTTTTATCTGTTAAATACTCATTCAGATTTTTAAAAAAAGATTTTTAAAACATCGAGCAACAATTTTTTCTGAATACAACTTCACAAGATGAAGCTAAAGAAAACGCAATACATAAGGCTGGGTTCTGCTGTATTTCATTTAGGTGCAGTACATAAACTGGAAAAATTAAAAATTTGTATTTGACTCCTCTTGACTGTTAAGTTTTACCAGTATGCATTAGATCTGCCACTTTCACGTTTTCTCTGAAAATTTAAATACCATTCTTGCGAGTTACTGTAAATAATAAATTTTCGTAGGGTACAAATTTTGCGGTTCTCCAAAAATATACATTTTCCTTGGCACTTGATTTCATGGTTAAATCTTGCTCACATTATTTTAGCAGTACTGTATAGTCACTTTATCTGTTTTACTCATGGCCATATAAATTTCAACAAAAATAAATTTCCCACGAAAATTAATAATTTTACAGTAGATTAAAGGATACATAACTTTAAAAAGAAAAGAAAGCAGAAAATGGTATTTCATGATGTTATTTAAGGCCAGTACCTGTTTAACAGCTTTCAAAAGAATGAAGCTCAGGGAGATCTACTGAAAGGGGACATAACTCTGATGACTTTGGCCAAGTTTGAATTTTGTCACCTTGGTTAGCGTTTTTATTGGTAATGTCACTAGCAGATTAAATTCGGACTAAAAGGTTGTTTAATTTGACAAATAGCTGCCAAAAATTATCTTAAAGGGACATCCAGCACAAGTTCAGATTTCACATAATAGTAATTTTTTCATGAAACAAAAATCACAAAAGAAATTGGTATTACAATGTATGTTCATATCGAAATATTATGCTGCAATTTACCATATAAACAAACATATTATATTTTTTTACAGAAATTCTATAAAGATCTAGTTAGATCGATTTACAAACATTTGACCGATTGTGAATTAGGCATAACGAGCTGAATGGTGCATGTGACATATATGTGTATCAAAAAGAATTATCAGCAGTGAATAGCACACAGACCTGTGTATTTACCTAATACTTCGAGTGAAATCTTTATGATCCAGTCAATGATGAAGTCCTTGATTCCTCAATGTGCTATGTTTACATAGTCAATCTTGTATTGGTATGGAGTACTTCCATCAATTTTTCCTGTCCAATCTGATCTTAGGGAAAATAGTTTGATGCTGAAAATTAAGATTTGAAAGTCAGTAGATAGAATTCCAAAACAATACAAAAACAGTATGAATTTTGTTTTAAATTTGTGCAGAAAATCCCTTTATATATGCAAATAAGATAAGTTTGTGGTAAGTTGTTAACAATTATTGGGACAAAAATCTTATGAGGAATACAAATATGATCTTTTTGTTCCTTCCCCTTGAGTGAATAGTTAAGGATACTGCGAGAGTTTTTCGACATCCATTCAAAGTGATGTCATAGGACAGAACCACTGTAATTTATGTAGTCTGACTAAAGAAATAATTTACGATTTATGAAAATTTTCTGACTGCTAAAATGATTTTCTTTTGATCAACTGGTTTCAAGTTAAGTGAAAGGATCTATTAAAAAACAAGATGCCTATAGGGCCTGTATCTCTCACCTGGCTAAGTTTGCTGATATCAATTATTTTAACTACAGGAAAAGTGCTTGGAACACTTGTATATAATTAGAAATGCACTGTTTGTAAAAGACTAAGTTCTCTATATAAAGGATGTCTTCAGTTCCTATTTAAGAAGGACTTGAAAGAATTTGCTCTATTTCCAATATTTAGCCCTGTCCCTCCTACTCCAGTGGGTCGGAACCCATAGTTAAAAAACAATTGATCCCCTTCACCATGCATGTCTCAGTCTAAATTAAGATAGAATCCAGACGTTCATACATAAGATTGTTTGCTCTATTTCTCCTCCTTGACCCCACGCCTCCCACCCTATGAGGCTACATAGTCAGATTTCATCTTAGAAACCTATCACCCATATGCCTGATGTCGTCCCATACGGATCATAATTTGAATCCAGAACCCTGGAAATTGTTAGAAAAAAAAACCACACATGTAAATACTAATGAGCGTAACATGTTAATCAAAAGTTTCGATTACCAAAACACGAAATAGAAAAACCATCACCCCTGATCCTAATATCAACATGGGAATAACAAAAATGTATGAATAAATCCACGAAACTCCATCAAAGTTTCGTTTTTAATTTGTGAGCATGTACATTTTAAGTACAGTCAACTTTCAAAACTAAAACTTTAGTATGAAACGGAGTTAACGCAAAAACACTGTTAGCCAGAGAACCGCCTTTAAAGAAGCAGGCGGGCTTCACATACTCAACAACGTCAACCACAAACGCTTTAAAACTTCCATTATCGTTTGAAACTACTAAAGGCCAGAAAGAAGCTGACTGCCAGCGTGGTACAACCAGACTACCAGCTCTGCACGTGCGAAAGTGATTGATAGCCCTCGCTATCAAACACAATGTTTTAACAAATTTTACCCTGCATTGACATGCATCAAGGCAATTTCTTTTTTGGGATTAATTATAGGAACATACCAGTGAAATATCACGCCTCCAGGCCTTTTCGTTCATAAAAGAAGTTGTTTTATTGCTTTTAAAAATTTGCCCCCTGTGACCTTGAACAAAGGTCAAGCTCATTTCTTTTTCCAAATAAGTCACACTTCTTACTAGGAACAT